AATGAAGAAGGCCATTTTGAGAAACTTTTTGGAGTAAAACTTAACTAAAACTACATTGCGACGCATCTGTGTGCAACTCTGTGTATGTTCCATATGCGAAAATCCATATTGTCAATTGTTAATTGAGTAGTCTTTTTGAATAAATAACTTAAAGGTTTTGCTCTTATGAAAACATTTGGGTTAAATTTTATAATGTAATGGGCTAGTCTCAAAAAACTTTGCAGCTGTTTAGTAGTTGTAGGTACTGGGAAACTTGTTGTTGATAGTTCCTTCCGTAAATTGATGCCCAGTATATACAATTTGATTCAATTTCTCCACATTCAATCTTTAACTTCCAGCACTTTCTGAAGATGATCAATGCTCTTACCGTATTCAATAATGTATAACATTAATGTAAATTATGAGATGTCCTTGTGCGATTAAATTTCTAAAAATAAAATTAAACATTTGGATAATTACAAAGTCCAAAGGAACTCTGATAAATTCGAATTCCCTGGGTGATAATAAATGATGTACAGTTTCTACTCGATTTATCTCTATCAATATTAAAAAATCCATTTTCTAGATCCAAAACTATAAAGAAATTCATTTTTTGCAATATGTTAATCTATTCCTCAATATTCGGTATGGGATACCTATTCTTAATAATTTTTTTTATTAATGCTTAGTTTAATAATTATAGTTCTATAGTCCACACACATTCTTTATGAACCCGTTTTTTTCTTTACTAACACAACTCCATAATCCGACGCACTTTCAGTTATTATATCACCTAACCATTGTTTGATCCGATTTTCTACAATCTTTTGTTCGTTTCTTCTTCAGTATTATTGGTACTACGGGTGTAAGCATGTTATATTCCACTATTTTTGATTTTATGATCTCGTTCGAAAATATTCTTTATTATTTTTATTTTCTCATTGACAATTTTTATCGCAGGTACTTTCAACAAATTTATTCCAATGTTCTTTTCAGCTATTATACAATTATTGTTTATAAAATGATTCTCAATATCTTTATACATATCTTGATTAATAGTTACATCAGCGACTAGACCGGGTATTGCTATTGGATTGATCTTGTAATTATAAAATTGATTTATGAATTTTAAATAGTTATATATTAGGACACAGATATTACTATCGGTATCAATTAAACAGTCAACAGAATATAATTTATTTTTGCCCTGATGCACATATTAGTATTTAGATAATTTTTTATAATAAAGTTCTCTCAAGCTACGTTGAAACTTTCTATTTCTGCAAAATTAATATTCACATTCGATAGTGTGTTATCAAATAAAGCTCTTTCATTGTCAAAAGTTATTGCTGAGCTACTTTTTTGCACCCTTCATCGGCGTCTAGCACTCATTATGTTAAACACTTCTCAAATCATCAACCTTTTCTTTTTATAATATTTTCTCTTACTCTACGTTCAACCTTTTTAACTGATTTAAATTTTTTTTAAATAATCTTATATTATAAAATATAGAGACCTGACCAGTGTTGCAGTGGTTATGGCACCGGTCCTTTAACTGAAGGGTTTCGGGGTCAAACCCCGATCAGGTCACTATAAAAAAATTTTCATATGTTCACAATTAATCCTAGGAGTGAAGAAGGAAAAAAAAAATAAAACAAAATATAGAGCGTTTCAATTTTGGGAAAAAAATTGCCATTTAAATTTAGAGATGGTAAGATACCGGTTTAGCCCATGTGTTTTTTAATATTTCTTTAAATAGAAACAATAATTTAATCTTTTTTTCCAAAATAAATGCAATGTTCGAAAATTGTATTTTTTGTTTTAATATTACAAAATTATACCATTCAATTGAAAACCAACCTTATCTTTATTTTTTTTATCATGCTAATTCTAAAGTTCTACATGAAAGTTAGTTTTTAATTGATTAATCGTATTAGACGATTATTTGAGTAAATGTATTTCAAAAGTAGAAAAATAAGATAGCAGAAGAGCTTCGTAAATTCTTCATAACAGATTTTTAATACTTACTGAATTACTAATACAGCTTGTTTAATTAATAGGCATTGTGCCTATTATTGTTGCTCTTATGTCTTTTCGTTATTACCGTAACATGATGCTACATAGCAATGATACGTTCAATATTGTTTTCTAACTTACGTAAAAACTACGAGATGAAGTGAAACTCTTAAGAATTGGTTTTATTTTAAAAAGAAATTAAAAAATATATTAATATTACACAATTAATTTGTTTTCTATTTATAAAATAATTTTTTGGACAATTCCCGACAATAAAAAATAATGATACAAAAAAAAATTTTTTTCTAGTGATTTAGAATAGATATTGGTTTGTTATACGGGGTGTTTCACATAAGGTGGCAAATAATTTCAGGGATGATAACTTGCTCGATTTCCAGCAAAAAATTGTATGTGTGGCGGCTTCGAGATACAGCTCGTCAAAGTCAGAATTTTTGTTTTTTTTTTGAAATTTTTTAAACAAAACTCGAAATTTCTCGAAAATTTTAGTTATTATTATTTTTTTTTTTTAGATGCGTTACAATGAGATCTAAAAGTTAATCCATTTATAATTTTTAGTTAATACAATTTTTTGCTGGAAATTGATGAAAGAATCGTCCTTGAAGTTATTTGTCACCTTACGCGGAACACCCTGTATAAAACATTGAAGATAATTTAAGTGAAACACAATTATAGAGATGTTTTATTAATGACCTTTTAAATGAGTTGGAGAAAAAGTTAAATTGAATGTAATTTTCTCTTAAAAAACAAAATTTACTTTCCAACTATGTTTTTATACCCTGCACTTCGTGAAGGGTATATTAACTTTGGTATGGGGTTTGTAACTACTTGAAGAAGTCATCTGCGGTATGGACATATGTATATATTCTTCGCCGATTCATAGTCCGATCGCACGATAACTCAAAAACGAATAATGCAATCGACACCAAACTTTCACAAGTTGTTTCTTTTGTGCCAAGAACGAACCCTATTGTAATTGAACTAATTCGGACAACGGGTTCGGGCAGCTGCCATACAAGTTCAAAAGCTAATTTTAAATATTTGGTAAAATAGTCTTGAAGTTTTGGTTGAATTGCTTGTCAGGTTCGGGTAGCTGCCATAGAAGTCCAAAAGCTAATATTAAATATTTGAAAAAGTAATTTCTATATAACAATGAAAGGTGCAGGGTATAATTCAATCAGTTTGTACCGACTGAAACGTTTTTACTTGTTTTAAGTTCAAGTGCAATATTTTAATCTTAATATAAAAATAATTTAGTAAGAGTTTAATGAACAATTTGTTTCATTAAGGCGATGTATTATAGATACAAACTGTTAAAGCTATGGTTATACATTTACATGTTATGCTTTGAATATAAAATAAAATTAAAAATAATAAGCAAATAATTTTCCTTTATATTATTTTCATTCTCAACAACAAAATAATCATGCAGCGTACAAATGTGTTTTAAAGTTTCAATATTATTCTTATAAGGATAAATTAAATTAACCTTTTTTCTATTCAATTGTTATATTTATTTGTAAAATTGAAAATTTCTCTTGAATATGGATCAATAAAATTTATTAACCCCATGTCAATTATACATTTTAATACGGTATATGATAAGCAAATGTAACAGAGTCATTCATATATTTGGATAGAATAAAATGTTTTAAAATTAAGTTTTAGCTTCAGTTTTATTTTTTATACTACTATATTTTATACTAATGTTTGAGATAAAAATGTTGTTTTGTATACAAGATGAAAAACGTATATAGAAAATTTATACAATAGATATTTTGTGGTTTATTAATGAGCGAAATGTGTTGTTTTGCCATCAATTTCATAAATTTGAAGACAAAATTATATTAGACAATTTTATAGAAATTGTAATTACAGATACAATGTTATCTCTTTGCCGGTATTAACATTTCATTTTAGTAAGCAAATCATACCAGAGTTCCGTAATACTTATAACAACATAATTCATCTTTAACGTAAATTATTGAATACATTTTAATCGAATTTAATGAAACTAAATTACTTATACATATATTTCCAAAATTATGAAAAAGTCATCAAAACTTAAATTTTATTCAGCAGAACCTGTTATAGCAGGATGGCGATAGAGTCAAGTTGTTTAAACAAACTTTACGGGGTAGACATGTTTTGTTAAATTAAACATAAATATTATCTTAACGTTCCGATCCTCACATTTACAGATCAATGAATAATGCCAATTTTTTGCTTTCAGTTTTAAATTCAGTTTTAAAATATTTCCCTTAAATAGTGTTTTCCCATTTGCAAAAAAAACTGTAACATTTATATAAACTGTAACAAAAATCAATTCCGGTATTGCTGGTTTCAATTGTTCAGAAATCTTAAATTGTTCTACATTCTATATAAAATTTTTACGACTTTTTATTTCTAAAAGTTTTTAGTGTTTTCAATACTAAAGGTTTTGCAAAACTTTAGCGTGACGTTTTTTTCTAGTAATAGCAAACTTCGTCTCTCAATAGGTCTAATTTTAAAAGGTTTTACTGTATATAATACTCATTATACTGTATTTACACTCATTTGTTTACTTCTTTAATATGATTTCTTGATGAAATTTAAAAGATTTATTTTTACTTACAGCGGATGAAGACAAGGGTTAACGTATCTTTAACAAAAATGTTTTTATTGATGGTTGATTTAAATATTAAATAAATCGATTGAATTTCATGATTTAATTGTATGTGCAAATTGATTTTCATTGTTTTTGTTCATAAACACACATGTTTTCGTGGCAAATTGCATTGATGCAAAATTTTTTCTCCAGATTTTTAATACCAGAATCTGGAAAAGATTTTTCTCTTGTCAATTACAATTGATTTGAATGCAAATTACTTTATATTAAGTAATACTATTAAATTAATAAAATATGGTCTGATTTAATAAAATCTAAATTTAATCCTAAATTATTCTTATACATTTTGTTAATAAATTTATTCTTATTCTAATTTCAGAAATAAAATTGGCGAAACGTATACACATAAAACTTCGATATTTAATTTTAAAAATGGTTGGCGTAACAATAGGTAATAATGAATCGAATATGAGCTGTGATCCAATAATGAAATATTTATATAAAATAAGAGAAGAACATGCTAGACAGCAAGAAAAGGATTATTCTCATGTATTTAGGTAAATCGCATGTCATTATGTAAATCTTTAAAAATATAATCTTGTTATTAATTTTTGTTTTCCTTTAAATTTTTGTAGAAAAAAATCACGTTTTGATTTGATTCGATTGTCTTGTATTATTGTTGGTATAGAATTTGCTTATGCAGCTGAAACAGCTTTTGTATCGCCTATACTTTTACAAATAGGGATAGATCATAAACATATGACAATGGTTTGGGGACTATCACCACTTTTAGGTTTTTTTGTCGCTCCATTTTTAGGATCAATAAGTGATCGCTGTAGGTTAGCGTTTGGGCGAAGACGTCCTCTGATATTAATTTTATCAGTTGGAATTTTATGTGGACTTTTATTAGTCCCACATGGTAAGGAATTGGGACAAGTTCTTGGAGATGTTGGAATAAACTACTTTTCAAATGAAACCGAAAGTCATGTTAATACAAATTTATCACAATTCGGAATAGCTGAGGCTTTAACAGCTCCACAGCTAATAGATGATTCATCATCAAATTATAAATTTGCTGTGATTTTAACAATTTTGGGAACAATTCTACTAGATTTTAATGCTGATACTTGCCAAACTCCATCTAGAGCATATTTGTTAGATGTTTGTATACCAGATGATCATGCTACTGCTTTGAGTATATTTTCAACAATGGCTGGAATTGGTGGATCATTAGGTTATGCAATGTGTGGCATTGATTGGGAATCGACATCATTTGGAGATTTTTTTGGAGGAAATATTAAGACAGTGTTTACAATAGTAACTCTATTATTTATGATGTGTTTTGTTATAACTGTAACAAGTTTTCGGGAAATTCCATTGCCCTTAATTGAAAAAGACTCCTTATTGAAACCAGTTTCAATTGAAGCAATCAAAAAGGAATCTGAAAAAGGGAAAAATGATATGATCTTTTATATTAAAGAGGTAAAATTTCATAAGCATTTTATAAATTTTAATGAAAATAAATTTTATTGCGACTACTTTTTTTTTTGTTAAAATATCATTATTTTTATTAAAATGTTTATTCACATTTTAATAATTCTAGCAGACTATGGCAATGGAATTGCAAAATTTAAATTGCACATTAAATGGTCACCCTACCGAAATTTCATTTGGTAGATATAAAAAAGTTAACACTGATGAGGAGAATGCTGATATAAATGGAAATATGGAGAACAAAGACTTTGGTGGTTTCGATAATGTTGAAAAAAATATTGACAATGATGACGAAGAAAATGAAAACGAAGAAAAAGTTTCGTTAGCAAAATATTTGAAAAGTATTGTAATTATGCCAAAATCAATGAGAATTTTGTGCTTAACAAATTTATTAACATGGATGTCACATCTTTGCTATTGTCTATATTTCACCGATTTTGTTGGTGAAGCTGTTTTCGGAGGAAAACCTTCAGTAACTTATTTTCGATACTAATGAAATATACAAAATACTAATAAAGATTTTTGCTATGAATTTTGTAGGAGGATTTGCAGTCTGAATCAAACTTAGTTTATGAGGAAGGTGTTAGATTTGGTTGTTGGGGCTTAGCAATTTATGCTATTTCTTGTTCAATATACTCAATGTGCACAGAAACGTTTATTCGTATATTTAGGTAATCATAATATAAAATATGACTAATTTCTTTTCATGAATCCACTTTTTTTTTTTAAATTTTTAGTTTAAAAAAATTTTATATTGGTGGAATGATAACATACACTGTTGGTATGCTAATTTTAGCTATTTGGCCGTCTAAACCTGGAGTTTTAGTTTTGAGTACAACAGCTGGTATAGTTTATTCTACATTATTTACAGTTCCTTATATATTGGTAGCAAAATATCATGCAAGTGGCTGTGTAAGTTTACAAGTAAAACATTTTAAATGTTTTAATTATTTTTATAATAATTGTAGTTTCAAGTAAAAAGGGGTGAAAATATTCAAATAAAACAAACACGTGGCTTAGGCACAGATGTGGCAATAGTATCAAGTATGTTATTTGTCGCACAATTAACAATTTCTCTCAGTATTGGTACTTTAGTTTCTTGGTTGGATACGACAGCAGGGGTATTATATGCGGCTAGCACATTTAGTTTGTTATCAGCTATATCAGCTCATTTTGTTTTATATTTAGATTAAAATAAATGTTTAGATGTCGCGAATTAAATTTTAATATTTTGTTATTATAATATTACTGCAATGCATTTTTTTATAATGAATAAACTCCAATTAGTTTAATAAAATAATGTTATACAAAAATTAATAAAGTTAAATTTGATTTGATATTGTAAGAAAAATATTGCATACTTTTAGGATTAGTAGAGAGCTTTGCATTTTTGAATGTGCGATTTTCCTAAATATAAAGCTTGCAATGCGAAGATTTTTTTGAATTTCATAAAAGTTTTGAACTTTTAAATAAGTTTTATTATTTGTAAAATTAATAAAATTATTTTTTTTGTTCCAATTCACATCATATTCCAAATCTCAAATAGTTTGATAATATTAATGATATTTCATATCATTAATACATACATATACCAAAAAAAATCACGGATTTTGCGATATGTTATATTTAAAGGTTGGATATTTTTCATAATGGGTTTCAATAATTTTAGCGTGTTGTTCTTTCCCGTAAGTACATATTGTTAAAACTGCACATGACAAGAAAAGGTAGACTTTAGAAATTATTCACTACTGACATATAGTCGTGATTTTTGAAAGGTCTTATATAATTTCTTTTGTAAATAAATTTATCTGTCAAAAAAACTTTTTTTTTCTGCTTAACTAAAAATTAAGAATTTTTGTAACTTTATTTAAGTTTAATTTGTACAGTTTAGATATTAAATAAGTTACTTATATAAATATACGTAAAATATATTGATAGTGAAACACAACGTAATTAGTGGTACCATGTTTCGAATTAACTAAGTTCAAAGCATAAACTTCATTTCTGAAAACACTTCTATACTCCTGAACTTATGTGCAGTAACTTTGAATTTGATTGAATTATATTAACGATATTTTAACAGTATAATGACCAAATAATTGAAAATCCGACTTTGCTATAAAACTAAAAGCTACCCAATTTGTTTTAAACAGCTTTCAGTTATAATCTCAGGCTTATTTCTTATGCAAAATTTTCAAATTTGTTTTTTAAAACAATATAAATAACTAAACATAAACTTATAGGTGAAAAAATTAAATACTTTCGTAATGTTTCATGTTCCTTCATTTCATTAAAACACATTTAATTCGTAACATTAAAATAGTTGCGGAAAATTCATATGTCAGCCGTCGTTTACAGACTCGTTGTATATTTACGTTAGGGATAAAAATTTTAAAAGCAAAAGAAAAAATTTGGACAAAAATTTTGGTTTTTCAACATGTGAAATCGAATTGAGCTAAAATGAAAATTTTGTTTAAAATTTGTATAATGCAATTTGAAATATTGTATTTTTTTTTTATTTTTATTGTTATTTTAGTATTATTTTTAGCTGAAATATTCTTAACTACTATAAAATTGATAAAATTTTTTTAAGTGTGCAACAAATTTGTAAAATCAATAACTTAACACAATAATACTTTGTATATTTTCACTGGTTATTCTTTATGAAAAGACACAATTTGGGATGAACGTGTTATAATACAGTTAATTAACGACGATCAAAAAATCAAAGAAAACTTTAATAATCAAATGAAGAAATTATAATGTATCAGCTTTCAGATCATATACTTGTAGAGCAAAGCTTCTAACTATACAGGTTCTCATGTAAACTTCCATCCCCCAGATTAAGTTGCGAAGCCGAAGTTAAGTAATGGCAATTAAGGTGTAAGATCAATAAAATTAAAAGTATAAACTTATATATAAACTTTAAACTTAATGGATTCACTTTTGATATCATATTCCGAGAATTTAGTTTATCTAGTATAACCTAAACCTTAAAAACACAATGCCTTTGCGCTTCGCTCGGCTCATCTTTGCCAGATTTCAGAGTCTGTTTCTTTGCTCAATTTTTAGTTTATTTTTTAAAGAAATTAAAATATATTTATAAATTATTTTTAGGTATAAATTATAAATTTTAAAAAAATTTCGTAAAGTGTCCATTCACTGGCGCATGCATTCTGTTTCGTTAAGTTGTAAATTTTAACTTAAATTTAATTTTTAACAGTTTTACATAAAGTTCAGTACTATAGAAGAGAATAAAACTTTCGGTCGTTTTCATGCAAAATTACATATAAACACAGGTATATACATTACGTAAAAGTTTAAGTTGTGATAAAAACTATATTATAAGTTTCTAAGAATTTCAAATTATATATATATAAATTTTTGCGGACGGTCGAGCGAACCTTATGTATGAAATTTCAAGTAAATCGGTTGAATATTTTCTTCAAAATGTTCAAAAATGTGAAACAGGCCCGCTAAAAAGTGCAGTTCTCGAGGCCTGATATATCCCAAAAGTTAATCAATCCGTACCATGGTGGAAATAAACTTACATATGAAATTTCAAGTAAATCGGTTCAACAGAACTTGAGATACACGCGTGCACACACAGACCGACAGACCGACAGGTTGCTAAAAATAGTTTATTTACACTTCCCTACTATGGAGAAGTGCGTTCCCACCGAAAACTCGATATTTAAAATTTGTTGCCATCACATAACCTACCTATTGTGTACACAATACGGTCAATAAAAGTAAAAACTGTTCACCACGTTTAAAAGGAATTGAAACGAACGCATATACATTAATGTTGTTTACGAACTTAAAGTTTATGACGCCATCAGTCATTAAAAACTTTATAAATAGACGAGGTAATCAACAACAAACAAGTGGAACGGTGTCAATAGAAAATTAGGTTTAAAATTTATTTCTCACAACTAATACATACGAGTACAAATAAATTATATTTATACCATATACGCATTTTTATTACATTTTCATTTTATTATGAAATTTAAAAAAATTTTAATTCATTAAAAAAACCTTTTCTTTAAAGGATTTTTAACAGTTCATAAACTTTAAAAAAATTTCTTTTATTTATTGCTAGAAAAAAATTAATTTTTGATTAAGAATTGGCAATTTTTTTGTATAATATTGCTAATTTTTCGTTTACTCGGAAAATTACTATTATACATACATACATATATGCCTTGAAATTAAGTCAAATTTAAATTTTTACATACGAAGCTTGAATATTATAAATAAAGGTACTTAATTTTTTAAGTAAAGAGCATAAAGCGCTTTAGAAAATGCGAGTAAATAAAAACAAACGCGTTGTCGAAAAAAAAAGAAAATTTTAATTTTATCTTTTGATGAAAGAATTTGATTATCTATGTATGTGTTTTTTTATATTCAAACTTTTTAATTTTCAAATCATAACTAACTACAACTAACTATTATAATTAAAATAACTGTTAATGAAATTAATTTGAAATTGGATTAATAATAAATATAAGTGAATAAAACATAATCAAATTGCATAGTTTATTGGAACCAAGTTAAAAACCATTTTAGCCGTCCTTCTATAAATAAAACTTCCTCCACTTCCTTCTTTTATAAAGGGTCCAATTAAATAATCTATATACATATACTTTAATTTTAAACTAAAATCTATTTTTCTATTCTATTCAAAATTTGGTTGATATAATGCCTCACTATATTCAGAAAATTATGAATGATAGAACGAAAAACCGAAATTTATTTTCAAAATTAAATTTAAACTATGAATTTATTTTACATAAAACATGTTGTTTCCACTTATGCTCTTTATTGTTTAATTCACATAATTATAAATAGAATTATGTATGTAAATATGGTTGAGTTTGAATAAGTTTGACAGCTATTACTGTTACAGTTACAAAATTTAAGAGGTGCAGGTTGAATTTGTACAACTTAAATGAAATTGAAATTTATTTTTTAATGAGAAAACCAAATAAATTAACAGCCACAATATTGCATAAACAAGTTAAAACAGACTATTTGATTTTCCAACAACTATAGAAATTCAATTTAAAACAGTCAAGGCCATTAAATATCGAAAAAAGTTTTTGGTACTTAACATATGAATTAATTTTACATATATGTGTTATGCTTTATGTTTTCAATGTATGGTACAATCACCTTTAGAAATTGACCTACTGTCATAAATTTTTACTTTATTGAGGTGAATTTAATAATGTTTGTTTATGAAACGCCATAAAATTTATAAGAGAAAAACATTTGGAAATATATTTTTTAAGACCAGGTTAGAAAAAGTTTTTTGTTTTTTTTTTAATAATACGTTTTATATGCACTTAACAAATTTTATTTAATAATTCTAATAATTTTATAGTAGAAATGGTTAGTGGAATTGCTGGAGCTGCTAAGAGCACACATAATGTCTCAATTGTTAATTATTTACTTAAAGTAAGGGAAGAATATGCCAGACAACAGCAAAAGGATTATTCCCATGTTTTTAAGTATTATTTTTTTAAAATATATTTTAGGTTATGTTAAATCGAATTTTTTTCTCTGTTTTAATTTGTTGTTGATAGAAAAAAATCCTATTTCGATTTAATGCGATTATCTTGTATTATAATTGGGATACAATTTGCTTATGCAGCAGAAACAGCTTTTGTATCTCCAATACTCTTAGAACTTGGAGTTGAATATAAACATATGACAATGGTATGGGCATTACCTCCATTTTTAGGTTTCTTTATGTCTCCATTTTTGGGATCAATTAGTGATCGCTGTAAACTATCAATAGGAAGAAGACGTCCATTAATAATAGGTTTATCGATGGCTTTGCTGCTTGGTTTATTATTGGTTCCGCATGGCGAACAAATAGGTGTATTATTAGGTGATACCGGATCCGATTATTCGGAGAACAAAATATTAAATATGACATTGAACTTCTCACAATTTGGTACTGCACAAGCTTTGCATGCATCAAAAAATTTTGATATAGTATCGAATTGTAAATTTGCTTTAATTTTTACAATTTTGGGTACTATCTTGTTGGATGTTAGTACAGATATCTGTCAGACACCATCTAGAGCATATTTACTTGATGTTTGTATACCGAACGATCATGCTGTTGCTTTGAGTATATTTTCTACAATGGCTGGTGTTGGTGCTTCATTAGGTTATGCTTTATGTGGTATAGATTGGGAATCAACTTCTTTTGGGAAATATTTTGGCGGAAATATTTTAACAGTATTCACTTTAGTTACAATACTTTTTATCATTTGTTTAGTAATAACAATAACCAGTTTTAGAGAAATCCCTCTGTCTTTGATTGAACAGGATCCAATGCTGAAACCACTAACGGCCTCAGCAATCCAGAAAGAAGTGGAGGAAGCAAAAAATGATGTTGTATATTATATCAGAGAAGTAAATTTTTGTTAAGTTTATTGGATAAATTAAAATTGAATTTATTATAACAATTTACAGATTAAGGGAATATCTTTTCAAAAACGTAAATCTGAATTAAGCGAATATTTGGGTGATTCTACAATAAGTTCTGGAACTTATAAGAAAAGAGACGATGAAGAATTCTTTGACACTAATATGAAGGAAAATCTGGTTGCAGCAATGTCATCTTCTTTTATTAATGAAAATGAAGAAATAACTGAAAATGAGGAAACGGAAACAAAAGCTTCGTTACTCGAATATTTAAAAAGTATTATAATTATGCCGAAATCCATGAGCATATTATGTCTAACAAATTTATTGGCTTGGATGGCATATCTTTGTTATTGTTTATATTTTACCGATTTTGTTGGAGAAGCAGTTTTCGGAGGAATTCCTTCGGTGAGTCAATTTAGATAAATTGATAATAAAGAAACATAAGATTCTTGTACAAAATAAAATGATAGGAAGATCCAGAATCTAAAAGTAATTTAGTTTACGAAGAGGGTGTACGATTTGGTTGCTGGGGTTTAACGATATGCGCGGCTGCATGTTCCATTCATTCAATATTTACAGAAAAGTTGATTAAATTGTTTAAGTAAGTTTTATTTTATTGTTAACTGCAAAGTAAAAAGCATACAATTTTTTTAGTTTAAAAAGATTTTACATTGGTACTATGTTGATTTATGTCAGTGGTATGTTTGTTCTCGCTTTATGGCCCACTAAAATTGGGGTTCTTGTGCTAAGTATTACTTCTGGTATGCAATATTCGACATTATTGACTGTTCCTTATATATTAGTAGCAAAATATCATGCTAGTAATTGTGTAAGTTTTTTTTTTAATTTTTGAATTCATATTTAAATTATGAATTTTCCCTTAAAAGTTTCAAGTAAGACGTGGTGAGAAAATTCTAATAAAGCAGGCAAGAGGTTTAGGGACAGATGTTGCAATTGTTTCAAGCATGGTATTTGTAGCACAACTATTAATCTCACTTGGCCTTGGGTCAACAGTTTCTCTATTGAATACAACGGCTGGAGTCCTTTATGCAGCTTCAGTTTTTTCTTTATTAGCATCTCTAACGGCATATTTTGTTTTGTATTTAGAATGAACGTGATATTTGATTTGAGTAATTAATTAACTTTTTCTTGCCAATAGTTGATTTTATTAAGTTTCAGGCTCTAAAAGTATCATTTTTAATTTTAGAAAGCAATATTTTAAATCTAACTCTTAATGAATGTGCGATGCACTGAAATACAAAATAAACCAAACCTCAAATAATGGAAAAAATCAAATGAATTAACTTAAAAAATTGCATATATATAGCAATATTAAATTGTATACAATTTAAAGTTTTGTAGTTTTTATGTTTACACAGTTTAACATAATTTTCTGGACTATGTAATATTCTATTTAATAAAACTTTCTTAGAAAACATGTATGGTATAATATAAATCTTATGGTGGTATCTAATAAAGTTTTTTTTTTAAATTTTGTTTAATGTTTTTATTTAAAAGTTGCACAACTATTTTCATTTGAATAATTTCCGAATACAGATTTTTTTTATATGATATTCTTAAAATCTTAATCTTAAAATAAATTTATGGCCGTCTATAATAAACTGTGAGAGCAATTAGCTTTCTTAATAGATTTGCCAAAATTTTGTTTAATACCTTGTACTCGTACCGCGTGCAAAAATTAGACACAAATAACATTGATTCAATTAGTTGTGTTTTGACTCTGGCTTAATTTAGCCAGGGTGTTTCTAAAATTATAATAATTTTTTGCAAATAGGACACGGAAAATTACTTATATACAATAAAATAAAAAAATGAATTATAACTCAACAACTAATTATATTTAATACCAACAATTTTTATGTTCGATCGATTCGACAGTGTTTGGATTAACATTAGCAATGGAAAATTTTAGAATTTAAGACATTGCTAATGTTAATTGAAAAAACAGTAAAATTAAGTTTAAGAGAATTTATAATACAGTAAGAAAAAATGCAAGAGAAAATAAGAAATTCGAAAATTACAAATTTACATAGATGTATACACATACAATCTTACATATAAATTTATTAAAATGAGTTAAACAGTATTAAAAAATATTAGAAAAAATGTAAAGTTACAATGAACTGTCGAAATCGATCCAAAAAAATTATAACAAAATGATTATTGCTAAATCAGGTATTAACAAGTTGTTCCAACAAACAATAATAATTCACTTTAGCAATGATTACAAGCAAAAGTATGATGAACTTTTCACAAAAATTATTTGAGTAATTTTTTGGAGGCAAGAACAATAAGAGATAACAATATTTAATTCTCGTTCGTTCATTAATATTTCTTTTCTACTAGATTTTTACCGACCGTATTGTGTAAACAATAGGTAGGTTATGTGATGGCAACAAATTTTGCATATCGAGTTTTCGGTGGGAACGTACTTCTCCATAGTAGGGAAGTGCAAATAAACTATTTTTAGCAACCTGTCGGTCTGTCGGTCTGTGTGTGCACGCGTGTATCTCAAGTTCGGCTGAACCGATTTTGATGAAATTTTATATGTAAGTTTATTTCCACCATGGCACGGATTGATCAACTTTTGGTATATATCAGGCCTCGGGAACTGCACTTTTTAGCGGGCCTGCTTTACATTTTTGAACATTTTGAAGAAAATATTCAACCGATTTACTTGAAATTTTATATATAAGCTCAGCTCGACCGTCCACGAATATTCCTATGTTTTGGAAGAAATCAGGCATCGTCAACTAGACGTTTACTAAGGGCCAAATATACATTTTTGTGTATATAAAGAGAAATAAGCAACCGATTTCATTGAAATTTAATATATGAATTATCCTCGTATTAAAACAATGAACATATAAATTTTTTGGAAAGAACAGGGCTCGAAAACTGATTTCCGGGCCGATTTTACATTTTTCACCATGTCTACGGAACGAATTGATGGAATATCTTGAATGATAATTGAGTTCTGGTTGTTACCGAAACTAACTGGCGAGCATTTCAGGGAATTCGCGTAGCACAAAGCGAAATTCTACTAAGAGCCAAATTAACATTTTTCTATGTATGTTAACTATAAGCTTACTAATGTTCTAAAAATTGGAAAGAAGTATTTAACAGACATTTTCATAATATTCTGTAACAATTTCATTTAACTAGACAATACACAATGCGGTCGGTTACGTGCTGACCACATCAGATTTTTTATTATTATCTGTAGACATTTTTGTTTTTTAATATTTTGATTTGATTCTTTTAAATTGTACAAGTTCTAGCTGCTAATAACTTGAAAATACGGGTTTGATAATGATTTTAAAAATATTCAGATAGAGTGGCATGTTTTCAATTTAAAGGCAAAACTTTTTTGTAAGCAAAATAAATTTGGAAACGGATCACAATATACTCGTATATTTATTGTTCGGTGCATCATAACTGAAATCGTTTTGGGTATAATAAGCGAAAAATATATTGAAAATACTTTGAAATAGTGAATTTATTTTAATTTTTGTAAACACTATCTTTTATTAAATAAAAATGTAAATGACGTTTTCTGTAAAAATTTCATAACATGAGTTAAAAAATATTTATTTAATAAGAAATCGGAAATGTATGCAAAATAGTTTTAAATAAATAAAATAAGTTTATGAAATCTATTTTGTTATTTTGTTATACTACAATATAACAATTTAAATGATTATAAAACAAATCTCAATGAATAATATGTGCTACCCCTACAATATTATATTTAATATTTTGTTGATATGTATAGAAGAAGATTAAGATTATTAATAAGTAAAGAAGATTATTCAAATTTATATAAAAATATTCGCCAAAAATTTATTTAAAAAATGAATTTAATTCTTTTTTAAAAGTGTGGTAAAAAGGAAATTTTAGTACATTTTAGAATTCTTATATGAGTCATAATATTGCACTCAAAATTAATGTACTCAGTTATTAGGTTGCAAAAATTGAATTAATTTCAAAGTCACAAGTTTTTGATGTTTTTATTTTGAAGTGTTAATAAAGCTGTTAATTAAAACTAACATTACTTTCTGAATTTTGTTAAAACAAAATAAAAAAACTAGATAGAAAAACTATAGTAAGATTTAGTAGAGTAAAAATTTAAAATACTAATTTGTTTTTTAGTATTTTATATTTGCAAAACTTAACATATAAACATGACTTCGAAATAAATGGCGACTAAGTTCATTCCAACTTTGGGGGGACCTGTTAAAAAAAAAGGCACCATATTTTTCCAGCATATAAATAAATGCTTATAACTTTGGAACCATGCGAAATAGACTAACCGTCCGGAGCTTGTTGAGGCGATTGATAGTTCTCTATTTTCGGCCTTACAATCTTAGCCATAGTTTTCGAGATAAAGCTCGTCAAAATCAGAATTCTTTTTTTTTTTTAACTTTCAGTTCATTAAAACATAAATTACTTCTAATGAATTTGTGATTCAACTAATATTTTTAGAGTTGTTTAACCAAATTTTGTAGTATCAAAAAAAAAACATACTTGCTCTACACAAAAATTTACTTGACTATTTATTTTATTTGTGCTCTAGTATACCGCAATAGAATTATTTTTCGTTGATTGATAATAATTTAAAGTCAGTTTAAAATCGTTAAAAAATTGCATATAATAAGGAGGCCTGTTTTAGTACACTTATTATCTTGACTTCAGTTGATAGTTTTCAATGTGAGATCAAAACAATACACATAATGTTAAAATTTTTGTTTTTAGTTTATTTACTTTTTCCATTACATCTGTTTACTAATTTGAACTGCTGTAAAATTCCACATTGTCACGATTAAATTAGTGAAAATTACATTTATGATGCATTAAATAACAACTGTATGTAATATTATAAATTGTAAAGTAATAGTAGTGTAAAAACATTTATAAATATATTCTAATAATATAATTAATGTAGAATTTGAGGTGGAATTCGTTATTGATTATTTTTGTTTTTTTTGTTACCGAATATTTATAATATAATTACATATAATTTTATTCTTTTGTTTATTGTTTTGATTTTTTTTCATAACCTACCCTCATGTTTATATTATTGTTCTTCATACAATTTATTTTTAATGCAACATTCACACATATTAAACTTGGCTATGCAGGCAGTATATGGTATTTGCCTATATTGATAAGATAATATATCATTTATGGCAATTACACTTAATTTAGACTAAATCAGAATTATGGGTTTCAAGTAAATCAAATTTAAAGATTTAAAATAATTTTTAAAAAATGTTTCAAAGGCTCTAATCAAAATCAAGTTCGTAGAATTTCAACTAATATATTTATCTATTATATATCATATCACAGATATCATATTTTTGAAAAGCTAAGATTTTGACCTTTTTTATACTTTAAATTCAACGTGCTAAAACTGCACGGATTGAACTAAATTTTGCTATATTTTCGATTTGGCTATGTAGAAATTAAATATCGTATTGACCAAATTTTCTGTGAATTCGACTTAGCTTGTGTTACCTTATTGCTAAGTGAAGTTGGAACACCTAAAAAATCATAACATTATTTTTAGTACATATTCTATTTTCTGTTTTAATTTCAACTAATAAATGTGCTAATAAAATAATAATATTGAATAATAAAACAAGTTTGAGTGATAATTTGTCATTATTTTGCTTTATTTTATTTTACCATAATAAAATGTTTTTGTTGTTTTATTTTATATTATTGTTATTTTGATTACAATTATTGTTATGCAAATAAAAATTGAAAAGAGAAATAAAGATAATAATTTTTATTTAGTTCAATTTTTTTTCCCTAAAAATTGTTATGTATACATAGTATATTTCAAAGGAAGTTATGTTTTTGAATATGGTTACATTTATTTTTCCTTAGTCTTTCTGAATATCTTGAAATAGTTAATGGGCATTGTAATTATTTTAAGCTCGGATGAAAATAGTTGCCTTTTTTCAATCACCAATTTATTTAGAATTTGCTTTGTGCTTTAAAAAATTAAAATGGAAACTTATGATAATCCTGGTTTCGTAAATGATGAAAATAATATGAGAAAGTTTACAGAAATTCCAACAACGTTTTTAAAACAAAACTCTGTCGGACCAACTGTAGAAGTAAGTATTCACTTTGAAATGTGATTTATTTTGAAATATACCTTAATAAGTGTTCAATTCCTTAAAGTTAGTTTTATGGTGATGCTTGGTTAAAAATAACTTAGGTCGTGTGAACTATGGTATATTTACGAATATCGCAATTTTTTGTGAAGTATTGAATTTAGTTAAGTTTTTTTATTTGTTCTTCTTTCTTTTCTGGTTATATGATTCTATTTTATTTACTTAAAATAAATTTCATTAAATCCTTTTTACTTATTACGCTTTTTTGTTTCAGCATTATATGACATAGTTACAATGATTGTTTTAGTAATTTGGTTGATAAATATAATATTGATAGTACATAATTTTAAGCTCTAACTAATAAAACGAAAATGAGAAAAATGTTTATAATTACTTTGAATGACTAAATGTAATCGATAGAAAATGATGAACTATTAAATTCGTACAGTAAAGGGCTCTTCTGAAATTCTACAACCTATTTACATGCTCTTAATTTTTTAATATCTCTTTTCAAATGTCCAGATTCTTCATTTTAGATATTTATATTTTAATAGGTTTACAAAAGGTTTTAGCTAAAATTTGAGACAAAGTAAAACTATATTTAATTGCATAATATGAGAGGTATTTTGTTATTAAAGACATTGACTAACTTAATAAAACAATGAATTGACAAAATTCTTTTGCCAACGTTGAATTCGCAAAGAGTCTTGTTTCTATAAAGTCAATCAAAAACTTAGTTTAACATTTTTTCAAAAATATATTATATATTAAATATTAGTTCAACTCTGTCTGTCAGTCCGTCCGTTCGTGGGTATGTTTATAAGACTTCTACACCCTTGAAGATAAAAATTGAAATTTCATAATAGTCTTTATACTAGAAACTTATTTTCGTAGCAAACGCAAAAAAATGGTGGCTAGCCTCTTCTACCGCGGTATACCATATTTAAACTTTAAAATTACAAAATGACCGTTAAAATTTACCGTTATCGAAATTCCTTTTTTTTGTAAATTTCTTTTTTCCTCTCAAGTTAACGTCTTCCGAAATTTGTAAAATTCGAATTTTTGGAATCTTACATTTTCGAAACTGTATACTTTTTCAAATTTTTATAAAAGCGGAAAGCTAATGATAAATGCCATGCCATTAAAAAATATAGCTACTTTTCTCAACTCACGCAATTAACCCTTAAATTTGATTATGTATTATGTTAATTTTTTTTCGTTTTATTTTAAATATTGCATCTTGATGTATGGAATCTTTGAAATATATTTATATATGAATGAAAGTAATTTTACATGTAGTACATTGTTATCTAGATTGTTTCAAAAGTAGTAGTTTCACTTTACTTTTGGTAGAGAAAAGTGCCACATTACAAACCATTGATTTGATCCGACTTTATTTATTTCAAAAACGGCAGATAGGGCATAATAAATGCACCCAAATATTTTTGAGAGTTCTCATAATAGTCTGAATACTAATTATCCATTATTTTATTTAGTAGATATTTAACACATTTTAACTTCACAATAGAGTAAATTTTACATTTATTTTTTTTTTTTATAATTTTAGGATGAAAATTGTAAATTACCCGACGAAACACTTAGACGTCACAAATTGCCACCGCAGCGAGATCTTTGGGGAAAGGATATAGAATTTTTGTTATCATGTATTGCAATGTCAGTTGGTTTGGGAAATGTTTGGCGTTTCCCATTTACAGCATTAGAAAATGGTGGCGGTGCATTCTTGATACCATATTTAATAGTATTATTTTTAGTTGGTAAGCCTATTTATTTCTTAGAAATGATTATTGGACAATTTTCAAGTCGTGGTGCTGCAAAAGTCTATGATTTATGCCCAGCAATGAGAGGTTTGTGTTGTTAAGCATTATACGTACGTATTTTTTGAATAAAAGTCAAATATTGTTAAATGCAATTTTATTCTTGGAAAGGTGTTGGAATTGGACAAGTAATAGCGATAACATTGCAATCTGGTTATTATGTATCAGTAATGGCCCTATGTTTAAGATATTTAGTAGCATCATTTAATAATGTACTACCATGGAGTGAGTGCAATGAAAAATGGGGTACAAATTGTATCGCATCTGGAAGTATAAGAAGTACTGGTTACGATTTGGGTGGAGTCGGTGTTAACTCATCTCTATATATTGATAACAGCACTAATTTTGATCATGAATTATTTATGGCTAATATTAGTTCAAGAAAAACATCTGGCGAATTATATTTTGTGTAAGTTTATTAACAAAAGTTGTGGATATTTCAAAGACCTTTTTTAACTACTGTACATAATACTTAATACATAACCATTTTTGTTAAATTTTTATGAAGATCTTTTCGACATCCTGCTTATCTTATTCTCATTATCTTAGTCCCAGCGGGCCCGATCCTGCTCATTTCAAATTTAGATCTAATCATGTTTTGAAATTTTTTTAACGAGTCGCGTTTTTAGAGTTCTTGAAACGCTATAATTGGTTTATTTTCGAAAACAAATGAAAAATTCTTGTTTTGAAACTATTTAAAATTTAATTATTTTCCCCCTAACAGAAAATTTTTTAAAATAAAGATGAGTTATTTTACATGAGGTTTCAGTATTTACCATATAATGAAATAGGCTAATTTCAGTGATAAGATTCTTTAACTGCGAAAAATTTGTTATTAATTTAAACTAAATTTGGCATTTGCAAGTTTTTTATACATATTCGCTATCTATATTTAGTACTGTTACATATAAAGACAATAATGAATGTAATTAAAAACCTTTCAAAAAAATGATAATTCAAAGTATTATTGTTGAGTACCAATAAATTTTTTTGTCGCGTATTGTGTATATTTGAAATATAGCTAATTTTATCTTATATATTATCGTTGAAAATTTTTACCGACCGTATTGTGTAGGTAGGTATGTGATGGCAAAAAATTTTGCATATCGAGTTTTCGGTGGGAATGCACTTCTCCATAGTAGGGAAGTGTAAGTAAACTATTTTTAGCAACCTGTCGGTCCGTCGGTCTGTCGGTCTGTCGGTCTGTCGGTCTGTCGGTCTGTCGGTCTGTGTGTGCACGCGTGTATCTCAAGTTCGGCTGAACCGATTTTGATGAAATTTTATATGTAAGTTTATTTCCACCATGGCACGGATTGATCAACATTTGGGATATATCAGGCCTCGGGAACTGCACTTTTTAGCGGGCCTGTTTTACATTTTTGACCATTTTAAAGAATATATTCAACCGATTTACTTGAAATTTTATATATAAGCTCAGCTCGACCGTCCGCGAAAATTCCTATGTTTTGGAAGAAATCAAGCATCGGCAACTAGACGTTTACTACGGGCCAAATACACATTTTTGTGCGTATAGAGAGAAATAATTGGCCGATTTCATTGAAATTTAATATTTGAATTCCTCGTATTAAAACAATGAACATATAAGTTTTTTGGAAAGATCAGGGCTCGAAAACTGATTTGCGGGCCGATTTTACATTTTCCACCATAGCTACGGAACGAATTGATGGAATTTCATGAAATTTAATATTCGAGCATTTCTGGGAATTCGGGTAGCACAAAGCGAAACTCTACTAAGAGCCAAATCTACATTTTTCTAGGTATGTTAACTATAAGCTTACTACTGTCCTAAAAATTGGAAAGAAGTATTTAAAAGACATTTTTATAATATTCCGTAACACTTTTACTTAACTAGACAATATACAATGCGGTCGGTTATGTGCTGACCACATCAGATTTTTTTTTATGGCTTTGTATAAGTATTTTTATATAGATCTATCTAATGTAGCATTTGTCATTATTCATTTGAAGTCATATAGTTAGAGGCGCTATTGACAAGTTTTTTTCACAAGGTTTCATGCCAACTAAACAAAAGCGTAACTGTAAAGTCTAGACTGTAACATGCTGCGAAGCAAAATAACGATTAATACTAAAGATCAATAATCATTAATTTAATTTGCCTTTCGATTTTAGAAAAGAAATATTACAAGAAGTCGATAATGTAAACGATGGTATTGGATTACCAAATTGGGAATTAGTCATATGTTTATTTGTTGCTTGGGTTATAAATTACATCATAATTATCAAGGGAGTGAAGAGCTCAGGAAAAGCTTCCTACTTTTTAGCAATTTTTCCATATATAGTTCTTATAATTTTATTGATAAGAGCTGTAACATTACCAGGATCAATAGATGGAATTGTTTATTTCATTAAACCACAATGGGATCAAATATTAAGCCCGAAGGTTTTTTAAATATAAATTTGATGATATTTTGTATTAAAAGTAATTTTCGTTTTAAACGTAACAGGTTTGGTACGCTGCTGTAACACAAGTATTTTTTTCATTAACTATTTGCTTTGGATGTGTAAACAATTATGCCTCGTACAATCGTTTTGATCATAACATATACAGGTATATATGTCTTTTGGCCTTAAATTATTTACACTTTAAAATATGGTAATTTTGTTTAAAAAAATCTTTAGGGATTCGACTATTGTCACTCTTTTGGACACGTTTACATCTTTATTAGCTGGATTTACAATTTTCGCTGTACTTGGAAATTTAGCTCATGAAGTCGGAACTGAAGATATTGGTAAAGTTGTTAAAGGTGGTGCGGGCTTAGCATTCATTTCGTATCCAGATGCAATTGCAAAATTTGATATTATTCCACAATTATTTTCTGTTTTATTTTTTGCCTTATTATTTGTTCTTGGTATTGGCAGTAATATTGGTATGGTTTCATGTATAGTTACAACGATTACAGATGCTTTTCCAAGATTACCGCAATGGGCTTGTTCATTAGGTGTTTGTTTAATGAATTTTTGTTTTGGATTAGTCTATGTTACACCGGTAATATTTTAATATTTGTTTATTTGTAAATATGTATACTGCAAATTGAAATTTTTTAATTCAGTGTTAACATTTTAGGGTGGTCAATTTATGTTAAATATTGTTGATTATTTTGGAGTTTCAATGAATGCATTAATCTTAGGCATTTTAGAATTATTATGTGTTGGGTGGTTTTATGGAGTAAATAATTTATGTGCAGATATAAAATTTATGATATCATTTAATCCTGGTGTTTTTTGGAGAATATGCTGGGGTTTGGTTACTCCAATTATAATGATGGCAATTTTAATATATTTTTTCGTTACATATCAACCAGTAACATATAAAGGTGTTTTGTATCCAAATTGGGCATATGGTATTCTTTTGAACTTATTTTAATTTATTTTTAAATTTCTTATAATATAAGCTCCAAATGTTTTTTTTTAGTGTTGGGAGGTCTTTTATGTGTAATTGCTGTATCTCAAGTACCAATATTTATGATATATGCTTATACAAAGCAAAGAGATAATACAGTTTTAGACAATATCAAGAAAATATTTAAACCAAAATCTGATTGGGGACCCATGGATCCAAAATTATATGATGATTATGTGAAATTAAATAAAAATGATGATATTGCAGAAAGTTTAAGATCTTCGAATAGATTTTTTGGATTTATTCAAAAGAATATATTCGGATAAATTATAATTTGTGGTTTTGTTTCGATTAATGATTTTTAATAATATGTAAACATTATTTAAAATTATTTGTTCTTCACTGCTATTACAATTTCATTTAATTACTGCTTATTAATATTTTGCCTAATATTTATTTTAGGTCTTATATTTGAGAGAATAAATAGAGTTGACCGTGTCAACTCTGTGATACCCGTACGAATCTGTTATCCCATGTGTCGTAGCTGATCATGGTGCAGAATATGACTTTAAGTTGCCGTATTACAATATTAATTTATGCAAAATTTATGTACTGTATTTTCAATAGTTTCTTAGATATGGCCAAACTACTATTGCAGTATGGCTATAGAGCAGCTATCACAAAGAGTCAAGAAATTTCAACGATTAATTACATATAACCGCCCTATTAATATATTAGTTTTCACGAAATTTCTATATTATAACTGGAATAATTTCTGAGATAACGCCAAATAATTTTGGAGTTTTATGACAGATATCATAAGTGCTTAAAAGATCTCCAAATAATTTTTCAATTTGTATGGCAGCTACCAGAAGAAGCCAAGCAATTTGAACGACTTTTATTAAACACATTTGCCTTATAAATATATTCGCTTATGTGAAATTACAATACCATAATATTTATAATTTCTGAGATATAGCCAAATAAATTTTGAAGTCCCATGGCAGCTACCCGAACTAGTACCTCAATCACATCCAAATTGAATCGGGTTTTAGCATTTAGTATAATAAATCGTTTGTGAAAATTTAATTAACTTAGCGCAATTAGGTTTTGAGTTATCGTTGGGACGGACGGACGGACAAGTAAAGCTAAATCGACCCAGACTTTGACGCTGATCAAAAACATATACTTGAGTCTATATCTCAGACCATTATTTTCACCATTATTCCTTAGCGTTACAAACGGTAAGGCAAATTTAGTACACCCTTCGAACAGACACAGACGTTCGTATGGTTTTAATAATATTCTTATAGTCTTAAATTGCTTCACTTCATAATTCACTTATATTGCAATTACAGATGCATTGTAAAGATTGTAAAGATCTGCCCAGTTTTGCACTGAGTTTGGTTTTAATATTATTTTATTCACCATAATCAGTTTTAAAAAATTCTTAAAAGCAGAGTGTAGGTGGTTCACAAATATTTCAATAAAATCGTAATTTTATTACCTATTTTGAGCAATCGTTACGAAAAAATTATCCTATGGAATCATAAAAATCTATAGATATGTACCTTTCTTCCAAGACATGTATCTATAATCAAAAACTTTGTAATTTAACCATAATTTCAATCTTCATTAAATATACGATTATGTAATTTCGATTTCTTCATCCAAAATAAATTTTAAATTTGAAATTCGTTATTTTAGCAGAAAAAGCCTTTCTGATAATTTTGTTTTTAATGAACTTGAAAAATATATTTCATTTTTATAATGACTAGTGAAATATGATTTCATCACACTTTTGCAACTAAAAAAATTTTTTGCAAAATAAACCAGTTTGCAAATAAAAAACAAAAAAAAAAAAAACAAACGTTATTGTGAGGTAGACTCATTTAAAAATACCAAAAATTTTTTAGTACCACTTAGTAAACAAGTTTATCAGTTTAAAAATAAATAGAAAGAACTTTTTAGTGAGATACCTTAACTATTTTCTCTCTTTTTGAATTAAGCAAAAATTTTTAAATTTAACTAAAAATGAAAGAACTTTAAGCGAGATTTCATGTTTCGCCTGAGTTGTCATTTTACAATAACAAAAATTCATGTATATCCTGTAAATGGACTTAAAACATTTGTAAAGATGTTAAAAAAGAATTGGGACATGAGTACAGTAAGGCGTCTTATAGATTTTTGTGATTGCTAACCAAGATTCCATGTGGTAGTCGATTGATCGCTAGGCAATCAATGCAATTTTTTCTTGACATTTCAATACAATAAACATTGTGTTTCAATCATTTGTTTTATTAACAAGTTGATTAAACCTACATTTACATTATTACCGACTGCATTGCATGCAATAAGGGAGGTTATGTGATGGCAACACATTTTGCATATCGAATTTTTGGTGGAAACGCGCTTCTCCATGGTAGGGAAGTGAAAATAAGCTATTTTAAGCAACCTGTCGGTCTGTCTGTCTGTGTGTGCACGCGTGTATCTCAAGTTCGGCTGAACCGATTGTAGTGTAATTTTACACTTAAGTGTTTATTGATCAACTTTTGAGATATACCAGGCCTCGGGAACTAAACCTTTTAACGAGCCTGTTTTACCTTTTTAATCATTTTGAACAAAATATTCAACAGATTTACTTGAAGTTTCATATATAAGCTCCATTCGACCGTCTGCGAAACTCCCTAAATTTTAGAAGAATTTAGGTGTGAGCAACTAGACGTTTACTACGGAAAGAAAAATAAACAAACGATGTCATTGAAATTGAATATTTAAATTCGAGTTGTTTGAAAAGATCAGGACTCGGAAACAGATCTGGGGGCCGATTTTACATTTTTTCCGCATATTTACGGAACGAATTGATGGAAATTTTCTTGAAATTTCATATTTGAGTTCTGGTTGTTACCAGAAATTACTGACGTACTTTTCAACTAGAAAACTGGGTATGTTATAACTAAAAGCTAATTAATGTCCTTAATATTGTAAAGAAGAGGCATTTTCATAATCTCATGGAATACTTTTACTAATGTACTGACCACATCAGATTTTTTTTTCGGTTACACTGCGTTATCGAGAGTCGGAAAACTTATGCAAGCAAAAGGTTTACTCAGTTAAGAACAGTATGTTGCTAATGAAATAGTAACGCAATAGTAATACCTTAGCAATAGTTTTTCAAAAGCAAAGAGTGTTTTTAAGGCCACTTTAAAAAGTTTGAAAAGTAATTTAGAAAGCATTCATTCTTTAACTATATTCCTGCGTTGATAGTTTTGAACACCATAAACAAAATCACTTTTCTTCTTCAAAATTTCAGTTATTTTTTATTGATGCTAAAATGTAAATAATATTATCTCATTTTCCCATTTCATTGATAATTTAATGTTACAGAGCTCTTTAAAATTAATAAGTCATCAATAAATAACCATGCAAAGATCCAGAAAAACCCAATAAAGTTATTTTCAATTCACTTCACTTTTTATACCCTGCACCTTCGAAAAGGGTATATTCACTTTGGTATGGAGTCTGTAATTTATTGAAGGAGTCGACATGTAACCACTTGAAGGTATGGACATGTATATATGTTCTTGTTCAGCATAAAATTCTGCGTTGATTTAGCCATGTCCGTTCGTCCGCCCGATTGCACAATAACTCAAAAACGAATAATACAATCGACACCAAACTTTCACAAGTTTATTCTTTTGTGCCAACGACGGCTGCTATTGTTATTGGACCAATTTGGACAACGGGTTTTGGTAGCTGCCATACAACTCAAAGAGTTTTTTTTTAAATATATCAAAAACTAATAGAGGTATTAACATCATATTTTGTAAAGGTATGCTCTACATATATTCTAAAGATTTTAATAGAACGGCTGAACAGGTTCGGGTAGCTGCCATTTACTCCCAAATTTAATTTTGAATATTTGGAAAAATAATAAAGTCAGATATTTGGAAGTTGGCAGTCGTTGTGGCCCATTATAGGTCAAAAACATTCATGAAGTTTCGGTGGAATTGCTTGACAGGTTCAGATACCTACCATACAAGTCCAAAAGCTAATTTTAAATATTTGGAAAAATAATTAAGTAAGATTCATGAAACTTGGCAGTCGTGTTTCTAAATATATGAAGGTATACAATAAGATATATTTCTGAAGGTTTGTTGGAATTGTTTGTACTTGCTTGTACGGAAATTAGAAATTTTTTAATATTATTCAGATGGTCGATTTTTTTCTGCCCAAATTCGTTTTTTATACCCTGCACGTTCGTGAAGGGTATATTAACTTTATGGTATGAAGTTTTTAATCTTTTGAAAGAGTCAAAAAAGACATAAATATATATTCTTGCTCAGCGTAAAATTCTGTGTTGAAGGAATAATTCAATCGTCATCAAAATTTCACAAATTGTTTCTTTTCTGCTAAGGACGCTTGCTATTGAAGTCGGACTAATTCGAACAACGGGTTCGGGTACCTGCCCGAACTTAAAGAGTTTATTTTAATTATTTGAAGAACAAATAAAGATATAAATGTGAAATTTTGTATGTATCTGTCCAATTACATTTCACATGTGCTCTAAAAGTTTTATGGAATGGCTGCAGTGGTTCGGGTAGCTCCAAAAGCTAATTTTATACATTCGAAAAAATAATAAAGTTAGATTCATGAAACTTGCTAGTCTTGTGCCCAATTATGGGTCTGAAATATCCTAAATGTTTTTATGAAATAGCTTAACAGGTTCTGGTAGCTGCCACACAACTCCAAAAGATAATTGTAAATACTGGGAAAATTAATAAAGCTAACTGCATGAAATTTGATAAACGCGTGTCCAATTATAACCCAGATATATTCTTAAAGTTTTTATGGAATGGCTTTACAGGTTCGGGTAGCTCAACTCAAGTCCAAAAGCCAAGTTTAAGTATTTGGAAAAATTATGAAGTTAGGTTTATGATATTTGGCAGTTATGTGTCCAATTATAGGTAACACATATCTTTGAAATGTTTATGGTAGCTGCCGTACTAAGTGCAAAAGTACTTATAACTGCAAAAGCTAAGTTTATATATCCGGAAAAACAATAAGGTTGATTACTCCTGGTATATGAATGTAAGTTTTTATATTTTAATCTAATTTTTATTTTTCCTTTCTTCATTTAATTATATATTTATGTACATAGTGTATACTTATTCATATTTCAACATGTAGAATCCCACTGAATCAGCCCATGCTCAACGGTGAGCACAAATAATCCCGTATTTATATATTGAATTCCAATGTTAACATTTTTAAAGCATCAAATTTTTTTTAAAGTTGAAAAACTAGATAATATAAAGATAAGTTT